TTTTTGAACACCGCGAGCTTATGCAAGACTTGTCTCATCAGTTGATCTGTCAAAATCTTGATGGTATGTTCCTGGAAATAAGGTCTCAACCTTCTGGCTGCTATAAGAAGGGCTAAGACGAGCTTCTCCATTTTGGGATATCTTTTATCGGCCCCCCTGAGGGCCTTATTGCAGAGCTAGATTGGTTTCTAAGCTCTCTCTCAGTCTTTTACCCAAGCGGCACTGACTGAAAAGTCAGATACATCGAGATAAAGGATTAGAACCTCTCCTTTTTGGGGGCTGACTAATATAGTCGTTATTCTTCTAGTGAGGTGCTGCACTCCCCAAGTGTTTGTGGGAGATTTCATTTCCAAAATAGCTTTTACCTTCTCGAGGTTTTCTTTGATACCTTGACTATTCACTATGAACCTTAGAAATTTTTCTGCCGAGACTCCAAAAGCACATTTAGCTAAGTTCAGCTTCATCTTGTATCGGCACATAATCTCAAATGACTCTCTGAGATGTTGGATGTGGAGCTTGGATTTAAGGGATTTGACCAGCATGTCGTCAATGTATACCTCCATCATCGATCCGAGCTTCTCTCGATACATCTAATTAACCAATCTTCGGTAGATGGCCCCAGCGATCTTCAATCCAAATGGCATGACTTGAAACAGAAGATTCCCTACTCCATAATGAAAGAGGTCTTTTCCTGGTCATTGGGATCCATTTTAATCTGGTTATATCCCAAGAAGGCGTACATGAAACTAAGGAGCTCGTGCCCTGCCGTGGTATCGACTATCAAGTCGATCCTAGGTAAATGGAAGCTATCATTGGGGTATGCACGGTTGAGGTCGGTAAAGTCAATACATAACCACCACTTTTCATTCACCTTCTTTACTAGAATCATGTTGGCCCACCAAGTCAGATAATCGACCTCCATGATAGCCCTTGCTCTCAATAGTTTAGCCACCTTTTCATTGATCATCTTTTGCCTTTCTGGAGTGAAGCTCCTCCTCTTCTACCTGACCGGCTTACAATTCGGATTTGTGCTGAGTTGGTGGACAATCACTTCTGGATCAATTCTCTCCATATCCTTTTGTTTCTAGGCGAATACATCAACATTTTCTTTCAAGAACAGGATGAGTTTGATTTTGATATCTTAGACCAACATTGAACCTACAAAGACCACATGCTCGGGGTCCTTGTCGATTCGCACTGGCTCCAGTTGCTCTATTGGGGTTGGTCAAGTTTCTAGCTCATCTCTCATATCGAGGTCCTCTAACTAAATAGATTCTACTTCTTTTTGCCTCATAGATGCCCCGTAGTACTCCCTGGCGAGGTGTTGATCTCCTCTCACCACCACAACCCCGTTCTCCATGGAAAATTTCATGACTAAGTGGTATGTCGACGGGACAGCTTTGATGGAGCTGAGGGAGGGCCTCCCGAGTAATACATTGTAGGTAGAAGGGGCGTCCACTACCAAGAAACAAATCGTAGTGGTAACTTGGTAGGGGTGGTCCCCTAGGGTGAGGACAAGATGCATGGATCCAATGGGCAGGACCCTCTCACCCAAGAAGCCTAGAAGGTGCGTTCTTACTGGTTCAAGCTTCGACTTGTCAATACCAAGTTGATCAAAAGTGGAAAGGAATATAATATCTATTGAGCTGTGATAAGAGCATAATATTAATATTTTTAATTCCTTTATATTTAGTTTTATGACATATTTTCTGTTTAAGTGAGCTGATTAATATATTTATTGAATTAGGGAAGCATTGAAGGTAAAATAATAGATATGGAATATATTGTGCAATTTCCAGCTTTTAGGCTGTTTCGATCTATGAAGTTTCAATTGAGGTTTGGATGGTGTTAGAATTTCAGAATGAGAAATAGGTCTTCATGAAATTTTTAGAGGACATCTTAATCTTTTTAGAAAGGTATGGTTTTGTAAAAATCCGAGTTCATTTGGGCCTCCAAACATTGTTTCAAAGTCAGGCCTGGAAAGTAGATCCGAATCCTGATTGGAGTTGGATTCTTGTTTGACCCAGTAAACTTCAGTGGGTCATAACTTGAGATTCTGAAGTTCAAATCAGGTGATTCAAAAGCCAAATTTTATCTACACATCTGGTGCTAAAACTTTCATCAAGAGCACAAATCAAGATTCAGTCTTTATTTGATAGAAGAACAACTCACAAGTTTTAGCACGATTTCTGAGATTTTTGTCAATCTGTTTTGATAAGAAATACCTATAATGTAGGAATTTGAGTTGTACACGTCCTGGGAAGTGTCATATGTGTTCTATATGTATCTAAGGTTTCCTGGAAGGAGATAGGCGGCAGATTAAGGAAGGGAGACACAACAATTTTTATATTACAAACGTGGGTTTACCTAAGTAATGAGTAGTTGATTTCCTTTGTTCGGTTGAAGGTATTCTAAGTTGGTATATGGTTTTGTGAGACTTGGTTTAATTATTTAATATCAAATTCTATTCGAATGATATGATTCTCTAATTTATTGATGAGATTACATAGTTCTTTTGATTAAGGTGCACACTAATTGATGTTATACGTGATGAATGCTAGATTAAGTTCTTGATCCGTATTTGTCTTGAAACTTGATTGTAGCATCAATCAATTATGCAGTTGTTTTCTAAACTTTTGTTATTAATTTGAGGGAATTATAAATTGGATTAATATTTCTTCACTGGTGGAGATTTGTTATTCAATCTTAGTTGTTCTTAAGGCTATTATTAATAGAAGCTTAATACCGAATTGATTAATAACAAGATTTAATATGAGTACTAGACTTGTATTAATGTTTATAGAGATGAAGAAGGTCATTTAGCATCTAAATGATCTTTGAACTAAGCTTTTGATAGGAGTTGATTGTTTGTCTGTCTATGATTAAATCCATAACCAACAGTTGAATTGCTTTTGAACCGACGTTTCATTAATTTATTCTTGTTAACGATTTGGTAATCTACTTTTGTGACAAACAAATCCCCCTTTTTATTTCCATATTATTGCACTTGTTACCAGTTAAATTAATTCATTTCTCTGTGATATTGACCCTTGCTTGTCACTACTATATTTGTAGTATAGAGGTAAGGAATTAATTTCAGCTATGACACCAAGCTGTTGTTGTTGATTAGCACACGATGTACAGCCTTGTTTGTAATGATAGCCTTTACAACCAAAGGTTCATCATGGGGTGTTAACATCCTTCCAAGTCAGAGTCTGAGAAGGTTATTTCCACATTCTGGCGTGAGGCTTTTTGAATCGTTTGCACCTCAAGAAAATCATCATATCTCGCCCTCTTGGCTTTTGCCCTTCTTGCTTAGCTTCACTCGCCCCCACCCGCAAAGCAACCCAATATGACTTTGATTTCCCCAATAGTCCATTGGTGCTTGAAAATACCTGGCCCAAGTGCAGAACCATGGGCTTGAGACCCAATGAGAGGGGTAATGCAGATATCTAGATTAACAGGGAAAAAATAGATGAAGTTAGATCAAGGCAATATATAAGTGGTTCACCTTAGCCAAAAGACCAAGGCTGCATCCACTATAATAGAGATTCTTACTCCTTGAGGCTTATATTACTTGGAGAAAAAGGTTGCAGTAGGTTTTCTGGGCTTAGAGCCTTTGATTAGAGTGCCTTGTAAATACAGATTTCTTTGATCCATTTACACAGTGTGATAGTGTTCTATTTATACAAGTAATTGATCTAGGGTTTTTTGTGATTTTCTCCTTCATTTTGCTAATTATCTGGTCTCCTCTTCCTTTGTCTTGTAGTGATACATGCCACCCTGAGGCAAATCATGTCTTTTATCCTTAAACGGAATGTGCACAAACATTCCCTTTTCTAGAGAGTATGTGTTCATTAGTGGCTCCATAAACTATCTCCAATCCCCTAGACACGTGGTGCAATGGGAGATGTTTGGAATTCAAAAAGTACCAAGCTCCTTGTTCTTGAGGTGGATGTGGCCGAGCAGGATCATACCGACCTAGATGTCATTGGACCCTCTTTTTTGGATTGTGGCCCATTCTTAATACGTGGTGGGCAGGCTACAGATGGGCTGTTCAGCTGCCATGTCACCAAGGGGGCCATCAGACGCTTTGGGTTTTTGCAAATGGGCGGCCCAAGCCAAAAATGGACCAATATCAATATCATTGTGCACCTGAAACTAACAACCATCAGTTTGCCATATAAAACTAAATAGATATATTATACCTAGATCTCATCATACTTATCACTTAATTATTTGGACTCCCTCACATTTAGAATATTACTCCTACACCTCCCGACGTTTGTGCACGTTTAATACATAACCTCTTGTCGTTGATATTTGTTAATATAACCGTTAAAAAATATGATTTTATCTTAATAAAAAATTATAATTTCATACTGCGTTTTATTTTGTGGGTTTGTTACACTCTAAAATTCAAAATCAAGTTTATCATTTGAATGCCCAATATAATGTAGGTATTTATATAATTTTTTTATATCCAATGCAAAACATCACTTAAACAGAATTATTTGAATACTCAATTGGGGGAACATTTTTAGTCATAGTTAGATTCTCAATAGATGTAGATGTAATATTTCAAATGTGAGTCGTCTAGGTGATTAAGTGACAAGTATAAGGGGGTCTAAATATAATTTATCCATTTAGTTTTAAAAGGCAAACTGCAAGCTGTTAGTTTTAGATGCGCATTGATACAAATTTTTATTTTTGAGGGTGTAAATTAAGATCTTTAATCTTTGATGATGTAAATTGAGATTCAAAGGATCTTTCCGCCTGCAATTTGAGAAACCCTAAGTTTTATTTCCACCATTCCTGCAATAAATGTTCAGAATTAGCATTGGCATAATTACTAAGCCGTGTGAAATAAATAACCGCAGTTGCAGGTGCGATGTTAAAAAAACATGATACTTGAAGGAGTAATAAGAGAAATACAGAATAGTTAAGGGAGTCACAGTGTAATTGTCCTAAAAAAAAAATATTATCAAACACCTGTTGACATGGGCAAAGAACCAGTCCGTCTGGTAACTGCTAACACCAACAGTATAGGCCAGATCTTCGTCAGGATATAGTTCTGAACACCGATCCCACCGTCCATATTGCCTGAACCTCTTCAATAAAAAACCAAATGCTTGTTTATTGACAAGTTAATTTGTGAGACTACACATACTAAAATGATAGATGAGCAATTTGGTTGATGAGTGCTAACTAACTTGTCTGCCTGGTCGATATACAACTTGTTCATGAGGGTCGAGTTAGGGTCAGGCACTTAGAATTCTGTTACAGTATATATATATATATATATATATATATATATATATATATAAATCAGCTAACAAGTTAAATTTTTATCTTTTATACATTTTTCTCCCAAAAAATATCACATGCCACAATTCTATCACATGTTTAATTATTTAATATTTAGTTAATTTTTAGTTTAACACAACTTTTATTTCATACATTATTCATACACAAAAAAAAATTTATCGAGTTATGCATTTTTGAGAAAATTTTGATGCTATTAATTTTAAATGATGTAAGCAAAGAAATTAATGTTAAATTTGGTATAGTGGGATAAATATTTTGAATGTTAGAATCTTATATTTCATCTTACCTTCAGGCACAAGGTATGACTAGTATATATATCATAAGCCAATTTTACATGTACATAGCCACATAATCCCAGTTAAAAGTACATTCACCATGAATTGTAGAATATGCAGCCCAATTATATTTTAGGAAAATTATAATTTGACCTCTTTAACTATGATTTTTTTATAATTTTTCCTCAACTATCATATTTTTCATATTATACCCTCAACTATTTAATTAGTTTTATATATTTTTTTTTTAATTTTTTTTTTGGGGAAAGGGAGAGGGTTGGGAGAACTTAAATCATTGACTTCAAGAAAGTAAAGCCTTCACAAAATAAAGAATATCATTGGACCAAAAGCCCGTTGGGAGTTTTATATTGCCCTAATTATCAACTTCTATTATATATTTTACCATAAGGTTGTTTCCTTTTCCCTCCTGAATTGTGTAAATTTTTTCACTTTATCTAACACGCCAAGAATTTCCATCCAAAAAGATAGTAAATATTTTCAATTGTGACAATGTGAAATAATTTAAATAGTTGATGGAACAATATAAAAAAATTTATAGTTCAAGAGATAAAGTGAAATCAAGTCCATAGTTTGGGCGGCTAAAGTGTAACTAACCCGTACACTTTCTTAAGTTAAAAGTAAAAAGAAAAAAAAAATAGCGTTAATCGATTCGGATTCAGGTTTAGATTCAAATTTAGAGGCAAACCTAGTGTAAAGCTAACATAAACATTACATTTGTAGTCTCTAATAAATCTAGAAACCCAACCCAGGCATACAAGTTATAATTCCTTGCTCGGACACCTCTAATCGAGAAGTACCCCTCAACATCAAGCTTGAGTCCAAAATTGGTAACCCTGAGAACAATTTTTCAGCTAATTAGTCATACAATTTAAGTTCATTATTAGTTAAACATGCCATAACCATGTTTTCTCTTTGCCAAGATCCGGCATCTCCTAACCCAACATGAGCAGAGTTCGCTGTCATAATCTCTTTGTTAAAGTACCTGCACAAGAATATTAATACCACTCAATATCGATATATTCATTATGAAATCAGAATATTAGGGCCAACAATTGTTAACATAATTATCGAAATCGATACGAAATTAAAATGTATGAATTTTATCTCTATGATATCGGGTTATAAATGGGTTGATCCACTAATCTTATTTTATGTATTGAGCCAACAATAACTTGCTTAAACCCAATATGAATCTGGCTAATGCTACTTATAGACTAGACAAAACCAAACTTCAGATGGCTAGAAATGGATTGATATATGTTGAATAAATTTGCACCGAGACAATTATCCCTACTTGACACAACACAACCCATGGAAGTACCTATCGTGAACCAGCAATCGTCCGATAATTGAACCACATTGACCTGAAAAAGAATAATTTTCTAAAAGTGAAAAATTGTATGCACAACTTTCTGTTTCTACAAACATCTGAAAGACATTATAGTTATAAGAGTTGATGATTAATTTTTCAATAGTATACCTCTATTTCTTTAACCAATAAATGCGTGATACATGTAAAGTTTTTTTTAATTTTATTTTACACTCCTTCACTATTTTTACAATTAATAATTACAAATCAATCAACCCAAGATCGACAAAATAATACCTGTTCTTTAGCATCTACCAAAAACCTTCTTCCATGGCTCTCCATCACGGAATTTGATTCCCAAAGGTTCTCCAGCATAATGTGTACTGAAGGAATACTGAAAATTGAAGGCAAAATGGTAAAAAGAGCTTATTTTAATTGGCAAATGAAGTGACCTTCCAAAAAAAATAAGCTAAATAAAGTGTTGTGCATTGAAGAATGAATATATAGCATCTATCTATTGGGTCCGTTTAGAGCCAACCTTTTTTGTTGTGAAACAAATGTTGAAAAGTGAAATGAAAAAGTCAGAGTTAAAAAACTCTTAAAACCGTTTAGAGTGTTTCTAAAAGTATCGGCTTTTTCTCGGAAGTCATTGGATAAGTTTCATTTTTTCAGCTTTTCCTTGGTGTTGATAAAAGTTATTTTTGCCCAAAAAATTGCTGAAAAAGCCGCCCAATAAGCCAGGGTCCAAACGGATCAGATTTTTTTTCCTTTGAATTTTTCCAAAGCTAAAGTTTTCAACTACCTCCAAACTGGCACAATATAGAATAATAGAAAATTTTGCACCGACCAAAAAGTAGGATAAAAATTAGGGATCAAATGATGTATAACTAAAATAATGGTGCTTTTGGTTTTATTGTTACTCATTTGTCAAGAGGAAATAAGTCTTAGCAGGCACTAATAGAGGACTGCTTGGGGGGGGGGGGGGGGGGGGAACTCAAAATTTATACACCATCTTAATCTTACATCATCTGGTCCATATTTTTTGCCTCTTTCTTTGCATGTTTAGCATT